ACAAAATACTAGAAAAGAATAATAAAGTATTCCCATCAATATGTCAAACCCACTTAACAAACTTGATCCCTAAACTTCCAATACTTCTTCAGAAATCCATATATCATATTATAGACATAATTGAAATAAATTAGAAAATGGTATATATTCGGTGTGGTCTAGAACAAAAAATTAGGATAGAAAAACAAAATGAAAATGGTAGTTGCACGGCACTTGTTTGCCACTTCCTTGGCACTTGATTACAAGGTACGGCAAGGAATATTCTTTGTAATGGTAAACGTGAGTCTCGACTTCCCGCTTGAGGAAGGTCAAGGTGTGAGAGTGAACGTACGAAGGACTCAGACAAGTTCAAGAGACGCCGGTAGTGGTGAGTGAGTCTCCATCCCCGTTTTTCTTACCTTTTCCTTCCCCACCCCTAAACTTCCAACTCTCATCCCCCCTTCCCCCGCCGCCACAACCCCCCAAACCCCGTTCCCCTTTCCTTTTGTGTACCTTTAATACTCGTTTCGCTTCATCGGAACGTAACTTCTCATTTAGAAACAAACTAACTCATTTAATATTCTATATTCGAGTTATGTTAATTCTCGATATGTTATAACTAACTAATAATAGATTTAATCTATCTAAAGACAACAAAAAGTGAATCGATATATATCCGTTAGTATCGTTTAAAAAAAAAGAAAATAGGAAACATTAATTAGAATAAGTTTATCATCACTGTTTTGTTTGGCCGTTAGAGATTCGTTTAATTTATACGATTCAAATACTAGACTACTCGTTGACTACTATATTTTTAATGTAATTACTATATTTTAAACCAGTTTTTTTTTTTTTTCTATTAATTATATTACTTTTTTAGCGAATGTTCGTGAGAAAATTTACACTTTTGAGGTTAGGTATAATTTAAAACGTGTTTTTATATGCTCTTACATGATTATATATACACTTTAGCAATTAGTTTATACAGGGTGTCCCATATAATTCTAGTCAAGATTTTTCAAGTACTTGTGATATAACCTGACAAGAAAATAATTTAAATAAAAGTTTATATGTTTTTGATTCATTTTAAATTGCAATAAGCATTGCTGGAGGAGGTTAGAAACCTTGTCAAGTAATGTGAACAATGGCTGGCTTTAGGCAATGTGAACAATGATTGATTCGCCAACTTTTCTTTGCCATTTTATGAACCTTTGCAGATTGATTTATAACTCAAATGAGTATTCAACTTGTAGATAAAAGAGTGTACTTTAATTTAATATAAGTTTCATAAAAATCTATTCACTCTAAGTATAAAAAATATTTACCAAAACTTTTTAAAAAAATGGCAAAGTAGAAAAAATGTACAGCATTGCATTCTCTGACAATTTCTGAACTTTTGCAAATCGATTTATAACTCGAAAAAATATTCTACACGTAGGAAAAGGAGTGTACTTTAATTTAATTTAATTTTAGTTGTTTGTTTTTAAAAGTACTTGTGCCCTTTGTTCGCCAGCGACAAGTAAAATAATATTTTGTGAAAATTTAAATAAATATATATTATTAAATAATAATCATTATTATTTTTATTTATTTATTTATTTATTTATAGGCTTAAACTATCCGTTTACAAAATTATTGTAGAAATAATTAAAAATAACTTTATATACAATACATAAAATAATATAAAATAAAAATAATTATATAATAATATAAATCAATATAAATTAAATTAATATAACTATACACACGAATGATATATTAAAAATACTATAAAATAATACGATATTAATAATATATATTTACTCATGTGTATTTCCGTATATATTTCATATATTACGTACTACGTATATACATCTCATATATATATACATATATATAACACATAATATAATATATTTTACGTAGGAATACAGAAATACGATAATGGTGAAAGTAAGTGGTTTTTCTTTTGATGAAAATAAAAAAAAAAGGAAACATGTACTGCACCCATACTAATACATTTACCAACGGTGCATAGGTGTGTTCCTGTTTGACGTTTCTTTTTTAAAAGGAAAGCCTTTCACAGGAAACGTTTAATGATCGATAAACGCATCTTTCGATTCTTCCGTACCGGTTTAAGCGATATTCGATCAGAAAGTTGGTTTCTATCAAAACCATCACGTACTCTTTATAGGATTATATCAAGTTTATTCCTTGAGAAGATTCTTCTTCTTCTTTTTTTTTCTTTTTTTTTTTCCTATTCATTAATAGATACTGAAATAAAATTCTCTCACATCTCACCTGGTTAAGTTACTTGTGGATAGATGCAATTAATAGTTTCACGAATGCAAATCGTTAGTTACTTTGCCGTTCTCTTAACTAACTAAGTATTAAATTCATTACAGTTAGACCAAGCGTATGACCTCTATTTATGACCGCAACTACCGATACATTACCTTACCTTGCCGTTTTAATTACTAATTAGGAGATAGGTGTTCATTATCTGTTATTATGTTCATACATTTTATTCTGTAGAATTTTTTTCTTTTTTTTTTTTTGTTCGTTCAACCGACCCAGTATACGAAATATCACTATTGTCTTCCTATGTGTAATGATTAACACAATTTAACCAACCTCTAACCCCCCCACCC